GAATCACACAGTATTTGTCTTTTTGTGACTGGCTTCTTTCACTTAGCATAATCTCCTCAACGTTCACCCATGTTGTAGCACATTGCAGAATTTTCTTCCTTTATAAGGCTGAGTAATATTTCATTATATGTACGTATCACATTTTGTTTATCCATTCATCTATTGATGAATGCTTGAGTTGCTTCCATGTATTAGCTATTGTGAACAATGCTGTTATGAAGATGGGTTACAAATATCTCTTCAAGACCCTGTTTTCATTTATTTTGGGTATATACACATTTATTTTGGGTATATACACGTAAGTGGACTTGCTGGAGCATATGGTAATCCTATTTTTAATTTTTTGAGGATGGGTATAGAAAATCATGGTATATGTGGTTTTCTTTTTACTTTTTAAACTTTTAGGTTTGGGGGTACATGTGAAGGTTTCTTACATGGGTAAACTCATGGCTTGGGGGTTTGTTGTACAAACTGTTTCTGTAAAAAGGTATTAAGCCCAGCACCCAATAGTTACCTTTTGTGCACCTCTACCTCCTTCCAACCTCCACCCTCAAGTAGACCCCAGTGTCTGTTGTTCCCTTCTTTGTGTTCATGATTTCTCATCACTTAGCTCCCACTTATAAGTAAAAACATGTGGTATTGGTTTTCTGCTTCTGTGTTAGTTTGCTAAGGATAATAGCCTCCAGCTCCACCTATATTCCCACAAAACACATGATCTTGTTCTTTTTGATGACTGCATGTGTTCCATGGTGTTTATGTACCACATTTTCTTTATCCAATCTGTCATTGATGGGCATTTAGGTTGATTCCACGTCTTTGCTGTTGTGAATTGTGCTGCAGTGAACATTTGCATGCATGTGTCTTTATGATAGAATGATCTATATTCCTCTGGGTTTATGCCCAGTAATGGATATATTGCTGGGTTGAATGGTAGTTCTGCTTTTAGCTCTTTGAGGAATCACCATACTGCTTTCCACAATGAACTAATTTACACTCCCACCAACAGTGTGTAAGTGTTCCCTTTTCTTTGCAACCTTGCCAGCATCTGTTATTTTCTTAACTTTTTCGTAATGGCCATTCAGACTGGGGTGAGATAATAGCGCATTGTGGTTTTAACTTGCATTTCTCTAATGATCAGGGATATTGAACTTTTTTTCATATGGTTGTTGGCCACATGTATGTCTTCTTTTGGAAAGTGTCCATTCATACCCTTTGCTTACTTTTCTAAAGGGGTTGTTTGTTTTTCTCTTGTAAATTTGTTTAAGTCCCTTATGGATGCTGGATATTAGACCTTTGTCAGATACATAGTTTGCAAATATTTTCTCCAATTCTGTAGGTTGTCTGTTTACTGTGTTGATAGTTCCTTTTGCTGTGCAGAAGCTCTTAAGCTTAATTATATCCCACTTGTCAATTTTTGCTTCTGTTGCAATTGCCTTTGGTGTCTTTGTCATGAAATATTTGCTGGTTCCTATTACCAGGATGGTATTGCCTAGGTTGTCTTCCAGGGTTTTTATAGTTTTGGGTTTTACATTTAAGTTTTTACTCCATCTTGAGTTGATTTTTATATATGGTGTAAGGAAGGAGTCCAGCTTTGATCTTCTGCATATGACTAGGCAGTTACCCCAGCAGCATTTATTGAGTTGGGAGTCTTTCCCTTATTGCTTGTTTTTGTCAGCTTTGTTGAAGATCAGATGGTCATAAGTGTGCAGCTTTATTTCTGGGATCTCTATTTTGTTCCATTGGTCTATGTACCTGTTTTTGTACCAGTGCCATGCTGTTTTGGTTACTGTAGCCTTGTAGTATAGTTTGAAGTTGGATAACGTGATGCCTCCAGCTTTTGTTCCTTTGCTTAGGTTTACCTTGACTATTTGGGCTCTTTTTTGGTTTCATATGAATTTTAATATAGTTTTTCATTATTCTATTAATAATTATGTTAGCAGTTTGATAGGAATAGCATTGAATCTATACATTGCTTTGGGCAGGGTGGCCATTTTAATGAAATTGATTCTTCCTATCTATGAGCATGAAATGTTTTTCCATTTGTTTGTGTCTTCTCTGATTGCTTTGAGCAGTGTTTTACAATTCTCTCTATAGAGATCTTTCACTTCTCTGGTTAGCTGTATTCCTAGGTATTTTATTCTTTTTTGGCAGTTGTGAATGGGATTGCCATCCTGATTTGGCTCTCAGCTTGACTGTGGATGGTATACAGGAATGCTAGTGATTTTTGCACATTGATTTTCTATCATGAAATTTTGCTGAAGTTGTTCATCAGCTAAAGAAGCTTTTGGGCTGAGCCTATCAGGTTTTCTAGATGTAGAATCATATCATGAAAACAGGCATAGTTTGACTTCCTCTATTCCTATTTGGATGCCCTTTATTTCTTTCTCTTGCTCTGGCTAGGACTTTCAATACCATGTTGAACAGGAGTGATGAAAAAGGCCTTCCTTGTCTTGTGCTGGTTTTCAAGGTGAATGCTTCCAGCTTTTGCCCATTAAGTATAATGTTGGTTGTGGATCTGTCATAGATGGCTCTTATTAGTTTGAGGTATGTTTCTTTAATATCTAGTTTATATAGAGTTTTAAACATGAAGTGGTATTGAATTTTATGAAAAGCCTTTTCTGCATCTATTGAGATAATCAAGTGGTTTTTGTCTTTAGTTCCATTCAAGTGGTGAATCACATTTATTGTTTTGCAAATGTTCAACCAACCTTATATCCTGGGGATGAAGCCTACTTGATTGTGGTAGATTAATATTTTGATGTGCTGCTAGAAGTAATGGCCAACCCAGAAGCAATGAGCACCCCTAGTATCCACGCTATGGTCTCTAAATATTTCCCTGAAAAGGACTGTTCTTAACAAAAAAAGCTTATTCCCATTCTGAAACAGGGAATGAACAAGGCAAGCCTTAAATATCATATTATACTAAAAATGAAGGAGATAATTAATGAAAGACTACTAAGGTTTTGTCAAAGACTCAGATTCCAAATTGAAAAGGCTACCACTATCCAAAAATGGAATGATTTGGCCACTGATACAGATACAGTTTAATGGATTCATATCGTATCAAATATATTTGAATTCATAAATTTATGAGGTGGCTAAAAAATAACAGTAAAGAAGAAACTCAGTAATAACTGATAGAAAATTAGGAAACTAATTTATTATTCTGAAAACTGGTAAATATAAGGAAATTATCCAGGAATTATCTTTCCTTTCTACAAGAGCTATACCTCAGAGTAAACAAATTAATGATAAGGGAAAGTTCTTCTTTATATTATTATACAGATAATGCTAAGTGAAGAAGAAATGATATAATTAGAGCATTAATATTTGGTAATCACGAATGAATTGTTGGATCTAGGCATTGATCATCAATACTGCTAACAACACAGAGACACGTGAGCATTATGGATCTCCTGATGAAAGTACACAACTCCACCAGTGAAGTGGTTTTGCCAAAAAAAAAAAAAAAAGAACAGAAATAAGAAAACAAACAAACTTGAATCTATATCAAGTCCTTAGCACTAGCAATTTAGAGGAACAGAGATATTCATCAAGTGAAACCATGGGATCTAATTAGCAAAATTCAGACAGTGGAAAACCCTTTAGGAAAAGCAATCCAGTTTACTTATCAACTAAATTATAAAGAAAAGATGAGAGAGAGAGAGAGAGAGAGAGAGAGAGAGAGAGAGAGAGAGAAAAGGGGAACCTTTAGGTTAAAAGATACTCAAGCTAGATATCAACAGTTATAATATGTGGCCCTTTTTTGTATCTGAATTGAATCAAACTGTAAAAGATCAGAAGAAAGACAACACAGAAATGTGAATGCTGATTTTTCCTAATACCATCACATTAGGGGTTAGGATTTCAACAAATGAATTTTAGAAGGACATTCAGTCTATAACAACCAGTAACTTCATATTAAAGTTTACCTGGAAGCTGTTGTTTCTCCTACGTAGCTTTTAATTTAGTAATTTGCTTTCCTGAATTTTGGATTTTTGCCTGTGACTTTCCTACTTTGACCACCATTAATTTGCCACACATCTTTGCTTCAAGCTGAAGACCTCCCCAATTCCTTAAATCTACTCCTAGTTAGCACTAACACATTTTATGTGCACCAGAGACTTTTACTTAAGGACTGTCTGTGGGTAGTGGGTAGAGCTTATAGGCAATCACTTAAAATTGAATAAGAGGCATTATAACTAATGCTACGATTCTAAAATTAGCTGTAATCCCCAATAGGCCTGCCCTGCTGCCTTCTTTCTTCCTTCTGAGACTTCTATTACATTTTCTGGCTCCCAAGTCACAAACCACAAACTCCCAGTTATTCATTTATTTTTTCCCCAGAAGAAATAGCTTTGTTGGGATTAGCATCTGGAGAAGAAAGTAGTACCTGATACATCATAATGACTTGAGGAATGCAGATAGGGCAGGCATACCGTTATTAGACAAATGGACTCCATTTCCCAGCAGACTCTGTAGTAAGTCTAAGCAATGCAAGGCCCTGTTGGGAAAATAGTTTCCCCACTCCCAAAACCCTCTACTAAGCTACCATTTTAAAAAATGGAGCAACATTCTTCATATGCCTTTTTTACCTCAACTACCACTATTGTAAATACAAGGAAATATCATATTTTATTAATCTTAAATTTATATTTTACATTTAGCTCCAAGTGTTCCTCATTTTCCATAGTTGCTGTCCTTCTGAACCTGGTTAGGTTGAAAATTGAGAGGGCAATCTTACTAGCCCACAGTGGCCTTTTTCCATTTTTCCTCACTGGTTAGGCCCAAGTAATAGGGAGAGTCTTAGGCTTGGGCAATAGAGTTATTTGCCTCACACAATAGCACATTAAGGCATCAAATTTGGGATACAGAGCCAAGCTGATGAGATCTGTAAACAGGAAAGCACAGACCCATAATTGGTGTAGAAAGAAGAGGGATGATTGCTGGCTTGTGTGTCTATAAGCTTTCTCCATCCTCATCTTCATCTTCTCTTCCAGTCCTGGCCCTGCATTCCAGAAACCTAGAAATTCACAGAAGACTTGTCTGTGGTGAGTATGGAGGGGAGTAGGAAGTAGTGGGTGTCTAGGGTGGGGGGTTAGTAGCTTGGATACTCTGGCTGCTACCCAAAGTGAGGGGACATTTGATTTCCATGAGGAGCCCTGGGTGGGGGTGGTAGAGAGAAAGAAAGAGAGGCGAGAGAGAGAGAAAGAGAGAGAAAGAGAGAGAGAAAGCATATGTATGGGGAGACAGGATCAACAGGATCGTAGCTTTTGGGAATGTGGAGTTGGAGGAATATGGAGGACTCCCTAGTAGGCATGGATGGCCTCAGCTCTCCTAAACTGGGATTATAGCAGCTCAGTATTCCTTGTTAAGTCTGTGTTTGGACTCAATTTATCTTTATTTTCCTATCACTTTCTTAAAACAGAGCAGTTCATCTCCCCTCTTCAACCTAAACCAAGCTCTTGACCCAGGTTCCTATACCCAAACAGTCATTGAAGTGTCTTCTAAGCAGAGGATCATCTATTCAAGGTCTCCATACAATCACAGTCTATCGGGGGAGCCCCACCCCTGATATTTATCATGAGTTCTTTTCTATTTCCTAGGTGTCTTGGCTGGTTTGAGAAATAAAGGGAAAGAGCACAAGACAGAGAAATTTAAAGCTGGGTATTGGGGGGAGACATCACATGTCGGCAGGTTCCATGATGCTCCCCAAGCCATAAAACCAGCAAGTTTTTATTAGCGATTTTCAAAAGGGGAGGGAGTGCACGAATAGGGTGTGGGTCACAGAGATCAGATACTTCACAAGGTAATAAAATATCACAAAGCAAGTGGAGGCAGGGCAAGATCACAGGACCACAGGATGGGGTGAAATTAAAATTGCTAATGAAGTTTCAGGCACCGCAAGCATTGTCATTGATAACATCTTATCAGGAGATAGGGTTTGAGAGCAGACAGCCTGTCTGACCAGAATTTATTAGGTGGGAATTTCCTCATCCTAATAAGCCTGGGAGTGCTACAGGAGATGGGGGCTTATTTCATCCCTTCAGCTTCTACCATAAAAGGCGGTCGCCTTAAGGGGGCCGTCTATAGACCTACCCTTAGGGCACATTCTCTTTCTCAGGGATGTTCCTTGTTGAGAAAAAGAATTCAGCGATATTTCTCCTATTTGCTTTTGAAAGAAGAGAAATATGGCTCTGTTCCGCCTGGCTCACTGGTGCAGTCAGTTTAAGGTTACCTCCCTTGTTCCCTGAACATTGCTGTTAATCCTGTTCTTTTTCCAAGGTGCCCAGATTTCATATTGCTCAAACACACATGGTCTACAAACAATTTGTGCAGTTAACGCAATCATCACAGGGTCCTGAGGCGACATAGATCCTCCTCAGCTTATAAAGAAGATGGCGGGATTAAGAGATTAAAGTAAAGACAGGCATAGGAAATCACAAGGGTATTGATTGGGGAAGTGATAAGTGTCCATGAAATCTTCACAATTTATGTTCAGAGATTGCAGTAAAGACAGGTGTAAGAACTTATAAAAGTATTAATTTGGGGAACTAATAAATGTCCATGAAATCTTCACAATTTATGTTCTTCTGCGGCAGCTTCAGCCAGTCCCTCTGTTCGGGGTCCCTGACCTCCCACAGCAACAGTCCAAAACGCTGACAGAGCTTAGAAATCACATATTTCTTGGTTACTTGATCACAGTCTAGTCTGTTTCTCTCCACCTTTCCTTCCAGAGACAGATCTTAGAGCTTATGAGATTATTTTCTTCAAGTTACAGAAGCATCAGAAAAAGTGGAAACTGATGTACAGTCCAGAAAGTGTGACAATATGATGAAAGGTGGACTCCATGAGTTTTTCCTTTTTCATTTCCTCCCTTAGTTCCTTTTCTGAAAGAGGAGCTTTCTGTGTCCACCTGAAATAGTGTGTTGCATAATCGCTGTCTCGGTCCTACTGTAGTTCTTGCTCCTGTACTCAAGGTCTTGCTGCTTCCTGCAAACAAGCAAGAAAAAACAGATCTCAGATATCTTAATGACAGGTGGTTTATCTCAGTTTGTAATCAAAAGGGTTCCACCACCACCACTAACACCCCTAAAATTAAATGCAATGAAAAAAGGAGTAAATTGCTGAATAAACTGCACTTTAAATATATAATTAATAAAAATTGTATTTGTTCTCCCTTGTGAAGTGTGTCACTATTTACCTAAGTGTCGCATGCCTAAGCGCAGTGGAAGGAAAGCCCTCTGTGGTCCAGGGTGATGGATGGCTGAGACTCTGGCCTGGACTTACACTGTCCAGCTATTGCCTGATCTTGCTATTCCTCTCATTATCCTTCAGCAGTCTGCAATCCCAGGCCAACGGACATTCAGCCATACTTTGGAACTGTTGTTCTCAAGGGGACAAGTGGACTGCAAGTCAGATCCACAAACATCAGCTTATGAACCCTATTGTGGCTTATGTCTTCTCCCAGCAGACCAGACTCTCAGGGCATTGAGCACCATGTGCAGAGTTTCAGCAAGTGTGTCATTTGAGTCTTCCTTGAAGGAATCACTGCCTGACTGCAAGGCAGAGTACTTTTGTACCTTGGTTTGGCCCTTACCTTATCTATCTAGCTCAATAGGGAACAGAGATATTTTGGGATGCAGACCCCCATCATATCAGCATGTTTTCTGCCCTTCTCCTCCCTCAGCTCCAGAAGGATAACCCAGGTCTCACAGGGCAGAGGTGGAATTGCTGGGTGGTAGGAGGGTGAGCACAGAAAGCAGCTGCCACTTGAAGTCCATCTGCCGTAGAGACTCACAGTGTGACTAGTGACAGTCCAATCCCGTATTTCACATCTGCTTTCCATAATGCTTTTTCCCATCATAGTCTTTATAACCATCATATCAACTTGTTATCTTGAAAACTGTTGAGAAATGCCCCTTGTGGAGACTGCTCAGGGAGTGATTGTGACCTTTATTTCTCCTCCCACCTGACTGCCCAGAAGCATCAGTTCCCATGGCCTCTAGACTGATAATTATGGGCAACCACTTACCTTTAGTTTCTCTGTGTCTTTTCCTTCTTGTGTTGGAGGCCCTGAACACATCTGGAACACCTCCAGGCCTGGGCTCACCATGCCTTAGATCTGAGTCCTGGCAGGGTCTAGGTCTAGGCTCTCGGGATTCCCAGCAGGACCTAACTTTTTACCTCTACAGGTTTTGTGTAATTCTAGAGAGTGTATTTTGGGAACCCCAAATCAGACTAAATATCTGACTTTTTAAACTCCATTTATGGGACCTGTGTAATAGAATATTTCAAATGAGCACTGACCGGGAGAGCCTGTGGTGTATGATGACCCTGGTGGGCACTGGCACCTGAATGGTAATTATGAACTCAGCAATAGAGTGCTTTGCCACTGTGGTCACTCCATCCCGTTTCTGAGAACCTGAAGGAGGTTGCTGTTTCTGGACTTTGTACAGTTACTCGTGGGCCATACATCCTCATCTGTGACTACATTTCATACCTGTAAAAAGAAAGGCTTTTGAGTAGAAAGTCCTTAAAATCCTTTTCAGCTTTAACAACTGTGTGGTGTTATGATCTGTACTACTTTTGATTTATTTTTCCTCTCCTTCCCATATATCCTGGAGAAATCTTAAGAATGAGGAAACTGAATCCTAGCTGACCACTGCAACTTCCCAGAATACAAAGTATTCCCCTCTCTTGTCTCCTAAGCCAAATGCAGATTTGCAAAAGCCCTATTGGGGCAAAGTGTGTCCCTGAATTGCTCACTCTGTGTATTTGGATTAAAAATGAGCATTGCACTGCATTAGTAGAAGTAATATTTACAGGTTTAGCATGGATGCTGATCATTAATGGAAAAACAAATTAAAATCCCCATGCCCTCAATCTGAAGAATCTTGGCACACTTCTGGATAAGATTAATGTTATGAAACAAGGTTTTAGAGGAGATATAGGAGACTGTGTCCTTGATATAACAGAGCTCAGTGTACTTTATTGTGAAATTTCCAGGGAATTGATTTGCAGATGAAAGCTCAGAAGCCCACAACAGTGGACAACAGAGCTGTCTGTTGAGCAAGTCTGGGGGATGATAAGAGGAGGGGGGATAAAAGACATTAGCCGCTCAGGAGCTTCTAAGAGCCGTTTCCTCAGATGAGATATTCTTGTGTGACTTCACTTGGGGCCCTTGCTCTGAGAGCATATCCTAAGCAGCCAGTGCTCCCTGCCATTCTACCAGATTTTATGCTCCAGGATTGTATGGTTTTGGAGTCGGGAGCAGTGGCAAGTGAGGACCAGAGAGTAATCAGCATTCCTGCCAGTGTCGGAAGCTCTCAAAATTTGGCCTTGATTAAATGCAGTGCTTGGCACACCTCCCAGGCTTGGGGAAAGGACAGGTAGAGTCACACACTCTTTCTTTCAACCCACATTTATTGAGCACCTGCTCAGTACTGGCTCTGCCTCTGTCACATCCTCACAGGGGTTCAGGCATATCAAGGAGGAACTGTAATACAGTGTGGTCAGGGCTATGATGAGTTAAATACAGGATGCTGTAGGAGCATGGAATGGGGGTCCTGACCTTGCCTGGCCACTAGGGGAAATCCTTTACTGCAAACACCAGCCCAGCCTCTAAAGACCATGCCTGCTTTAGAGGCAGAGAGCAAGAGGAAGTGAGCAAGGGAGGTCATTCACAATTCTGTCACTCCCAGATTTGTCTGAATCTTTTCGGAAGGCATTTATATTTCCTGCCAGCACCACCCCTTGGGGGTGATGAATTCCAATAAGTTTCAATCCATTTATTACTCACCGTGAGAGAAATTGCTTCCTTTTATGTCTGGAACTAAACCTGGATCACATTTCACAGGATATCCCCTAGTCACAGAGTTTTGGAATCTGGTGCGTAAATCCGTGCCTCATGAATCCTCAAGGTTCTTGTTTGTTTTGTTTGTTTGTTTTGTTTTGTTTTTTGAGACAGAGTCTTGTTCTGTCACCCAGGCTGGAGTGCAGTGGTGGGATCTCGGCTCACTGCAACCTCCACCTCCGGGTTCAAGCGATTA